CTGTAGTTCACTGTAACGAAACCACAGATACAGTGATACCTCTATTTAGCGGAATATATAGCGAAGAAATTCCGTTATATCGAGTGTTAGATGAGAAACCTTTATATGACGAACTATATTGAAGACAGTCCGTTATATCGAGGGTCTGTTAGATGAGAAACCTTTATATAACGAACTTTATTGAAGAGTCCGTTATATCGAGGGTCTGAGATATGAAACCTATATATAACGAACTATATTGAAGACAGTCCGTTATATCGAGGGTCTGATAGATATGAAACCTCTATTTAACGAACTATATAGAGAAGAGTCCGTTATATAATACCCCTATGTAATGGATTATATGGAGAAATGTTCGTTATATGGAGGTGAATGTTGCTGTGTTCCAATAATGTTACGAGACTTGACGTGAGTAAGTGCACAATCTTTTAAAAGCATTGATGTTTATGTTGTTTTAACTTTTATCTTTCTTTCTTTATTCATCTCTCTCTCTCTCTCTCTCTCTCTCTCTCTCTCTCTCTCTCTCTTTCTCTCTCTACCTTTATTTTCCTAAAGGTATAATAAGGACTTTTTAAAACAATAAAAGGCGCAGGTAATTTCGTTTCAATTTCCGAGGCGACCAAGTTTGTGTGTAAATGTGAGCCATTATTGTGTGGCCTGTGATGGGGGAGGGAGGAGGAGGAGAAGTGAACGAGAGAAATGGAAGCCAAATGGAGAGTGAGGGAGGAGGATGAAGGAAGGAAAGGTAGGAATGGAGGGAGGGAGGAGAGGAGGTAAGGGAAGGAAGGAGTGAAAGAAGGAGGAGAAGCAATGGAAGAAGTGAAGGAAGGGAGACAGAGTGACAGAATGGGAGAGGAAGATGGGAGGTGGAAGGGGGGGAGGGGGGAGGGGGGAGGGGAGAGGGGGAGTACTTAGCTTTGGTTAGTCTGTCCACGAAAATTCCCTATAATTCGTCAGTAACGTCAACAGGAGTTAGTATTCGTCAGCAACAGGTAATTCAGGTCAGCAAAGTCAGGAACTAATATTCGTCAGCAACGTGAGGAGTCGGTATTCGTCAGCAACGTCAGGAGTCAGTATTCGTCAGCAACGTCAGGAGTCAGTATTCGTAAGCAACGTGAGGAGTTAGTATTCGTCAGTAACGTCAGGAAGAGTTAGTATTCGTCAGCAACGTCAGGAGACTCATATTGTCAGCAACAAGTAATTCAGGTAAGTTAGTCTAAGAGAAACACCTATAATTCGTCAGCAACGTCAGGAAGTCAATATTCGTCAGCAAACGTCAGCAACACGAGGTAGGTAGAATGAGTGACGGCCCAGCACCACTTTTCACTCATGAATGTCAGCAAGTAATGTGTTTCACTAAGCTGACGGACGGGCTGACACCTCGACACTCTCCCGTAATTAAAAACTCTGATTCTGTTACGATTTTTTGGGGGATGTTTTTAATTAATTTGACCTTTTAAAGTAATTTTTATTTGTTTGTTTATATACTGGGAATAATAGTCATACATACATACCATACATACATACATACATACATACATACATACATAGCACATGGAGTTTCATTCAGATACGTTCTCTCTCGCCCTCTCAGGTCAGCAGGTCACCCTCGTTCCATTATCTAACAACATAATCGACCCCCCCCCGCCAAGCCACTACATCGCTAACTCACTTCAAACTTCGCGAATTCAAACTCCTGCAACACTAACACGGCCTCCTTCGCCAACTCAGAGCTCGCCAATTTGATCTCTCGGTCTCAAGAGCTTATGAGCTAAAATGCCTTAACTCGAGATGTTGACAAAAGGTGTTATTGTTTATATTGTAAGCCGTGACGGGATGTAACGCCTGCTGTGATTGGTGGTGTTCATGGTGAGTGGCCAATAGGTTGTAACGCCTGTTCATGATTGGTGAATTAGCCTTGGGGAGAATGGAAGGTGTTTTGTTATTGGTGGAACGTATGATCATTATTATTATTATTTTAAAAGTAGTAGTAGTAGCATTAGTAGATAAGTACAAGTAATAGTAGTAGTAGTAATAGTAATAGTAGTTGATAAGTAGAAGTACCGTAATAGTAACAGTAGTAATAGTAGTAGCAGTAGTAGTAGTAATAATAATAATAGTAGTACAGTAGTAGTAGTAGTAGCAGTAGTATAGAAGTTGTAGTAGATAAGTAGTAGTAGTAGTAATAATAATAATAATAATAATAATAATAATAATAGTAGTACAGTAGTAGTAGTAGTAGCAGTAGTATTAGAAGTTGTAGTAGATAAGTAGCAGTATAAGGTATGGTTATTGGGGAGCTGGAGGCCATTTAAAAAAAAGTAATATTAGTAGCTTTAGTAGATAAGTAGTAGTAGTTATAGTAGTAAGTAGAAGTAGTAATAATAGTAGTTTTAGAAGATAAGTAGCAAGTAGTAGTAGTAGTAGTAGTAGAAATTGTAGTAGATTAGTAGTAGTAGTAGTAGTAGAAGTAGCAGTAGTTGTAGTAGTAGTAGCAGTAGTAGTAGTAGTAGTAGAAGTAGTTGTAGTAGTAGTATTGTATATTATGTTCAACTATTAACACTTTATTATTATTATTATTGTTATTATTATTATTAAGGTCAGATTAACTATTAAAAATAATGTTATTCAATTGTAGTGTATATCATTCAAATGTTCAGTTATTCATAAGTTCACTATTATTCAGCACAGTTATTCAATTTGTTCAATATTATCCAAAATATTCAATGTTCTTCAAATGTAAAATGTTCTTCAGGGGTTAAATATATTTCTAAAATGTTCAGTTATTCATCAATTCACTGTTATACAAAAGTGTTCACCATCAATAACACAAGTTCATCACTAGAACACTCGCTCTTGGTAACTCATAATTGTTCTTCACTTAACCAGTGTTCTGTTCAATCATAACATTGTTCACTGATAACTTTCGCATTTTGATAACTACTACAATAACACTCCTAGGGTAACTAATAGCTAGGATAACCACCTTGCCTATGATAACAGTACTAAGATAACATATTAACACATTGATTCAAATTGTGCCGAGATAACTTTGGCATCTAGGAAAACAGAATTAACGCTCGTTGCTAGGATAACATACGGCTGTTTCTTTCGCTAGGATAACACTAGTTGCTAGGATAACATTCGCTGCTAGAATAAGTCTTCTTTAGGAGAGAACTCAAGGCTAGGATAACAACAGGTGCCAAGATAACATTCGTTGCTTGGATAAGTCTTACGTGAGATAACTATGCTAGGATAACTTACTGCTAGGATAATTAATCCAACAAATATACCAGCAGGGTTTTTGGATAACACTAGGCTTAGATAACTCCTAGGGTGTTGAAAGCTCCCATAGCTAAGATAACATTAGGTGCTAGGATAACACCCAGGTCTCTGATAATCACCATGGCTTGGATAACATTAGGTACTAAGATAACACCCAGGCCTTTGATACCCACCATGGCTAGGATAACATTCGTCTTTAATACATAACATTACGTGCTAGGATAACATAGGATTCTCTCGCACGTCACTAAGATAACACTGCGCTAGGATAACACCCAGGCCTTTGATAACCACCTTGTCTAAGATAACACCACGATAACCACGCGTAAGATGAAGGAAAGGGGGGAGCTGGTTGTGAGGGGGGGATGGTGTAGGGGGAACCCGGGAGCAGCACATAGCTCTCCACGTCCGGAGCCACACTGAGCCTGGAGAGCCACCCTGTTGTAACCCTCCACCCCCCCTTTCATCTCTCCCCTCAGCCAGCATCAGCCAATCAGCGACAGGTGAATGGCGCGATGCGTTCAAGACACCACGAACTGAAATTTATTTAAATTTTGTGTTATTTGTAGCTTCCATAAACGCATAGAATTGGTTAAAGTATTGAGATAGTTTTGTGGCGTAGACCTTCATAAGCCGTCAGTGTCAGCCAATCAGCGTTAAGGAGACATTACGACCTTAAAACTATTTGTATTTTCATTTTTACTAAGCGTTACGAGCCCAAAGTATTTATATTTTCTCCTCTGACGTCACCAATATGACCTCCAGTATCTCCAGGTGACCCCTAGTATCTCCTCGTGGCTTCCAGTATCTCTAAATCGTGGCCTCCAGTATCTCTCCGTGGTCTCCAAAACGTCAATTTAACATTAATTTTGTCTTTAAACACCAAATTATCCAAAAAACATAAATTTCGTCCCCAAACATCAATATATCATCAATTTCGTCACCAAACATCAATATATCATCAATTTCGTCTCAAACATCAATATATCATCATTCGTCCACAAAACACAACCAAACAAAAACAACTCACCAAACATCATATATCATCAATTTCGTCCCCAAACATCAATATATCATCAATTTCGTCCCCAAACATCAATATATCATCAATTTCGTCCCCAAACATCAATATATAATAAATTTCGTCCCTAAACATCAATATACAATAAATTTCGTCCCCAAACATCAATATATCATCAATTTCGTCACCAAACATCAATATATCAACAATTACGTCCCCAAACATCAATATATCATCAATTTCGTCCCTAAACATCAATATATCATCAATTTCGTCACCAAACATCAATATATCAACAATTTCGTCACAAACATCAATATATCAACAATTTCGTCCCCAAACATCAATATATCATCAATTTCTCGTCCGTTAACTGTTACTATTACCTTTTGACAGCTTAAGGACCTATAATTCAGCCATGGTATCTATAATTCACCCTAGCACCTATAATTCAGCCCTCGGAACCCATAATTCAGTCCCATGATCTATAATTCAGCCCTAACACCTATAATCCGTCCCCGCGATATAGTTCAGCCCCAGGACCTATAACTCAACACAGGAATCTATAAATCACCCCAAAGACCTATAATTTACCCTTAAGGACCTATAACTCAACACAGGGATCTATAATTCACCCCAAAAGCCATATTATCCATGCCTAAGGACCTTTAATTCACATCAAGGATCTATAATTCTATCGGGATCAATAATTCAGTCCCCAGAAATTTATCTTCTACCCCCAGCATCTATTAATTCAGCCTACACACCTATAATTCAGCCCCAGGAATTGAATAGGTCACTGCAGCTTCAACTTCAGTAAATATGAACAAGGCTTCACGTCTCCTTCCTGGTCAATTAACTGAAGCCCCGATGGTTCTTCCTCCTCTTCCTTTTTCCTCCTTCCTTCCTCCATTCGTTTTCCTTCTTTTCTTCTTCCTTTGTCTGCCTCTTCATTTTCCATCCTCCTCTTTCTCTTCATCTCTCCCTGCCTTCATCCTCTTCTTTCTCTTCTCTTCTCCTTGCCTTCCTTCCTCCTCCCCATCCCCTTTTCTCTTCCTATTCTTTGATAATTTGTACGCCATTTTTCCTTTCATCTTAGTCTTCTCTCCCTCACTTAATCTCATCTCCCTCACTTCCCATTTTACCTCTTACCTCCCCCACTTCCCATTTTATCTCCCCGTATCCTCCCATAAATCCTCTTCTTCAATTTATTCTTCTCTTTCTCCTTTATCTCTAACCATCTCCTCTTCCTCATTTATTCTTCTCCCTCTTTTTTCCTCTCTCAATCTATGCCTTCAGTCTCTATCCTTTATACTGTCTTTGTCTGTCTATAGTCGATACCATAAGTCAAAAACAAAATAGCATGGGGAACATTAACACACCTTCATATGATCCCAAAACAACATTACCCCAAATGTATAAACACCTTGACATGATCCCAAAACATTACTATCTCAAAAACAAAAGAGAATTGGATGAGGAATGGTTAGGAGTCCTTAAAATGTACATATACTGTAAAGACACCTTGATATTGCCCCCAAAAAATTTACTAACTTAAAAAACAAAAGACAGTCATCAGCAAAATGGTTGAGGTCACAATATATATATATATATATATATATATATATATATATATATATATATATATATATATATATATATATATATATATATATATATATATATATACACCTTAATATGATCCAAAAACATAACTAAAAAACAAAACAGCATCAACAGTGGAATGGTTGATCATTATAACATGTACAACGCCCCAAAAAGTTCCCCCAATATAATTTTACTGTCTGTAGGGAAGACCTTTATCAACACAGAGACAAGCGAACATCAAAATTTAAATCGACTGATCCTCAACAGCATATAGAGAACTCACATATGATGTTTGTCTCTGGTGTGACTGAGTGAATGGTATTAATCATGCAGGAATCATTTGTCTATACCCTGTACTCAGTAAAGGTTGTCTCAGTGTTGATGCCAGGGATTGAGTTCGTAGAAGAGGCCGGCAAAAGCTAAATAGGCATAAGCGACAATAGGCATACTGTACATGTTAAAAGGAGACTTAAATTCCAGCAATAGCAGAAGTCCTCCTATTAAGTTTTCTTGTATAAACTAATAGCAACTTTATAACAAACTTACATAAATACTATTGAATGAACATTATAAATTAACATACTCAGATACATCATATAGTTGTCTACATGTGGAGAGGCTGATGAATGGTGGGAGTAGACGCTGGGAGACACATAAATGGGAAAAAATTAAAACCAAGTCCTGGAGGGTTAAATCATCATCTTCAAAAGGTTAAACCATTATCGTCAGAATTAAAACATTGTAGTTAAAGGATTAAATCATTGTTCGCAGAGGGTTAAACCATTACCTGTATCATCAAAGAGTTAAAACCTCATCGTCCTCAAAGGGTCAAACCATTATCACCAAGGAATTCAAACATCGACAAAGGATTAAACCATCGTCCTCAAAAAGTTAAACCAGGTCAATAAAAAATAATAATAATAAATAACCACCAGGTGTATTATATACCAGATATTGCACCTATGATGCAATGTGTGCCGAGAAAATGACCTCGTGTGATGGGCAACTGTGTACGTTTGCAACTGTGTACATGTGCAAGTGTGTACATGTGCACCTTAACCCAGCACAAACAGAATTAGGATAGTCAAGACTAATCCAAGTCAGTGTTAATCCGGTTCAGGTTAAATGAGGATGACCTGAACATAGTATATAAAGGTGGTTAGGGTCATTACAGGTGTTATGACTCGTTACTTATTCATTTACCTGAGGTCATGGGATGTGTGTAGTAACTTAAGACACAAATATAAGTACACAAACTCATGTCTGTTTAAATACTAACATACATACACACATTGACATGCAGTACAGAAGTGGTTCCTAATCCTTTTCTCTGTTCCCTCTCTTTCTCTCCTCTTCCATCTTTATCAACTTCCTTCTCTTCTCCATCTAGTCTCCATTCTCTTCCTCGATCACCATTCTCCTCTCTACTTCCCTCTTTATCTACCTCCTCTTCCTCCATTAATTATTCTCCCTCTTGCTCCATTTCTTCCCTATGGACACTTAATTTTTTCCCAACCAATAAAAATCATAATGAGAAACAAGACACAAAGAAAACATATTTCTCACTTCTTCCCCCATGAAGGATACATCATAACAATCAACAACTAAATAACTACAGTAACATTTGAATTCATCCAGGGAGTGATTTCAAAGTTGAAGTCAAAATCAAAAGAAAAAAGTCAAATTCACCCCCAAGTCAAAATGAATAGTAAAATCTTATATATTTTAGATTTTCCTTTTTTTTCTCTCTTGCTATGGAATCCAGTTTGAGAGCCAATGACATATACACTACCATGTGCAAATACTTACATACACATACTCTCACACACTAACATATACACATACTCACACACAATAACATATACACACACTCATAGTTTCAACCTACCCGGGATTGAACCCAGGACCACTACACCACACATCACCGTACACACACACACACACACAAGAAGTCATTACATTTGTTTCTGTGTAAATATCGTATAGAAAATTGACATCAGTTGTATAGAAAATTGTGACATCTCTTCTGTTAAATATAGGAAATAATTACTACAAAAAGATTCATTTATTTAATATATATCTATAAAAAAATTACCCTAGAATTGATCTACAAGTAATAATGGTGCGGGAAGCAGCTCCACGGCCACACAGTTCGCTGGATGTGAACAAGTAATAATGGCCCAGGTAGCAGCTCCACGTCCACACAGTACGCTGAATGTGATTGTGATAAAATAAATGAGTTTGTACAAGAAAATCCATCCCAAAAATATAACAACATTCTAAAGTGACAAAATGGTCAATGTTAAAAAGACGTTCAACAAAATGCAACACCACGGCCTCTTTCACACGAGCGTTTCTTTGTTTGTTGCCTGACATGGAAATCAATGGAGTTCAGCAAGACATTACATGAGATGTCCATTCCACTTCATTAATTTTTAAGTCGAGTGACCACATATTGCATGACTTAATATCAATGGAGACTTCAATGGAACCTTTTTCACTCAGAAACCCATAAACTTCCATTTATTTCTAATGTGCCCCCCCCCCCCCAGTGTGAAAGAGGCCTAAGCCATTTCATTGTTCAGACAACATCTACAGGTTCATCCCAGACTTGTTAAGAACACGTTATATCAGGTTCATCTTGTATACTCTACAGAACACACATGATTAGTGTTGCTCTTTGTATTACTTCTCCAACACTGACCATCTTGATTACAAAAGTTTGTCTTGTAAATGACTTAATACGTCACTATCTCATGCACTATGTCTTTACAGGTACGGATCTCAACCAGGGTAACATACTAAATTAATAAAATCACTCGGTGTATTGTTTATCATATAATAAAATATAAATTAGTTTACATTTTCTCTCTCTCTTGTGATTCGATGTTTCCGCAAAGTTTTCCTCACACGAGCACTATTTGACGCAGAGAGAGAGGATTTGTGTCTCTGCGTCGCGTCACTGTACGTTCGAGACATCCGCCACTTTGTTCGATATCCTCGTAAAGCTTCACATTACACGCATTCGTTATTTTGATCCCATGAAGGTAAATTACCACTTTTAACTCTTTTATCGTTCATCTTCACATAAATTATCTTTCCTGTGTTCTGAGTCTTGTTGCTCATAGACAACTTAAGTACGATTGAATTTCTCACGTGTTATTTCTAATGGTAGTTTTTCGTACACCAATGCTGTAGCCGATTGATACTGTACGTCCACGCTCTGTCCTTGATTCTGAAACATTGAAACATTCACTCTGTCCTTGATTCTCAGATAGATTGAACTGTTCACACTCTGTCCTTGCTTCGGAGATTGGTTGAACTGTTCACTCTGTTCTTGATTCTGCGACTGAATGAACTGCTCACACTCTGTTCTTAATTCTCAAACTGATTGAAGCGTTCACTCTGTCCTTGATTCTGAGACTAATTGAGCCGTTCACTTTCTGTTCTTGATTCTGCGACTGACTGAACTGTTCACTCTGTCCTTGATTCTGCGACTGATTGAACTGTTCACTCTGTCCTTGATTCTGCGACTGATTGAACCATTCACATTCTGTTCTTGATTCTGAGACTGATTGAACTGTTCACTCTGTCCTTGATTCTGCGACTGATTGAACTGTTCACACTGTGTTCTTGATTCTGAGACTGTATTAAACCATGTCCTCAGCATCAGGGAGTTATCAGCTAAAGGGTGCGTATTTGTCCCACGTGATTGCTGGCCAAGTGTCAGGGGATATAAGTCATTTTCACCCATCGCCTGGTGGGACGACGGCTGGACAAGTGTCATAATACAGAGTGGAGTATTTATTCCTTAATATCTGGCCTGACAACTAACAGGCAGTACAAATTATTGTTCCAAATACCTAATATAGAACCACTGCCAGCCAGGAAACCGAGAAATAATATCTTGTTCCAAAACTCTGGTGGGATGACTACTGTACTAGGTGAGTGTGTAATACTGTCCCTAAGGTGGGTGGGATGCCTCTTAGGGTGTGCGAGAGTAAACCAGGGAACATAACGCACTCTAACACACTCTCTCTGACGTCCGGTGAGAGGAGCTAGATAGACAGAAGCATCGTCCCTAGTGTCTGGCGGGACGAGTGGCGGCCGAGTGGTACGGTGATGGCTGGGGAGTCTTGCCGGGGGTCTGTGGAGGACGTCTTGTGACTAGAGTCTGGATGATGCGGTTGGACACACCGACAACAACAGAGAACAACTGCATCTGGTAACCACTGTAAAATAAAAGTCCATATATTAAAAAAAAGAAAACATTCAGATCAGAACAAAAACATTATACAGTATAAGCATGATGCAAATGGGTTGGGTTAAAAATAAAAAAAATATATATAAAAATATTTATGTGAATTTTTATACCTCAAATAGAAATACATTGAAAAAATAGGATTCAGTTTCCCAAGGACATAAACACCCCAACACAAAATCAGTTCACAAACAAGAAAAAACCTACATAACTAATGATAAACAGGACACAACTACTTTAATTTACTACCTGAAACATTAAAGTTATTAATAAAAGACTACTATCTAGATGAAAATATGCAGCTAAACTATTAATGAAGAGCTAAATCAAAGTTAAACACAGCGGCCAGCGGTGCCATTTGCATAGATGCTGACTGCTTCATGCATGACCGCCCTCAAGCATCGCCATAGCAAACAGTCTAAACAGTTAAACACGTCACTTTGCCCAGAGGATGGTTTACAAAAGGTGGAAGAGGCTATTATTTGTACATTAAATAATACGTCGCCATTTGTCAATCTTGTCACCAGCACGAGATAACAGAGGTGAGAGAATGCCCCTCACTCTTGTGCTAACTCCCACACACGTAATAAATGTTTAATCCATTTATGTTTTTAACCTTATGATAATTATTTTTATTTTTTTTTTACACATCCTGTATAAACGATTGTGTGTGAATGTAATAGAGAATAAAAAAAAATTAAAATTGTGGCATCTAACTAGAAATACGAGTTGAAAAAATAATGCAGTTCACAGCTTGATGGGAGGCTATACACACCCCTTCCCTTCCCACAATTCCTGGGGACATAAACAAATATATATATATATACCCATTACTTTTTTAACTTTACCTTACTTATCTCATTTACTTTCTTTACATAATATGCTTAGAGGATTATGTGTACATATAGTACAACTGAATAAAAAAAAAGAAAGTTGTTTATCTGAAATTACAAGATGAAAAATAATCATAACTCCCTTTAGTTCACCTTGCTAACTCAATGGTGCATGAAGAAATAATTATTCCCATTATGTTTTTTGGCCTCACGAATTTTAGTTTTCGGCACACTGGGTACGTAAGATAAAATGGGCATAGAACCGAATAAAAAATTAATAAATAATAAAAAAAATATGTTTAAATACCCTAAATTACAAGCTGTAAAATAACCACAACACCTCCCTCAGTCTGGTAAGGAGAACGCTCGAGGGATGTGGCCGCCCCAGCTCACTCCCGGGGACACGAGATTTGAAATTTTGCCGGGACTCAAATTCGTAAAAGAGGGGAAAGCTTTTATGACACAAAATAGTGGTGTTAATTTAGGATATACGTATAAGTCAATATTTGTGTCTCGAGGGATAACTGTAGTAAAATCGTGTCTTTCTTAATACTTCTATGATGACTGAGGTAAATAGTGTGTGTGTGTGTGTGTGTGTGTGTGTGTGTGTGTGTGTGTGTGTGTGTTTGTTTGTTTGCTCATGTGTGTGTGTACTATCTGTGTGTTTGTATCTATATGTGTGTGCATGTATGCATGTGAGTATCATTTAGTTAATACAGTACTGTAAGTTCATCTAATACTACAGGTGCTCAAGTGACAATAACGAGCTACAATATACACAATACTGTACTACACAACGGTCTAATACAGGACAATACAGAACAAGTTTCCCTCAGTAACCAAAACACAGAGTTCCAGATTAATTTCCCGATAAGCGAAATTCTGCTGAGTGAATCCTGACCTCCTGCTGAAACCCATTTGATAACTAGATATCTGTCCCTGGAGAAAATTTTACCTGCTTAATAGGATACTTTCTACCCTGAGTAAAATTTTACCTGCTTAATCTGAAACTTTCTACCCTGAGGAAAATTTTACCTGCTTAATCTGAAACTTTCTACCCCCAAACAAGTAACATAGTCTATACAAGTAATACAAGTCCACTATGTACTAACTAAGGTGAAAGATAGATGATGTCAACTTACCAGTGGATATTTCATTTAGTTTCCCACCACCATCAAATTTCTTCAATGTTTTTAGTTCTATATCCTAAGTGAGTGTCTTCCTCCTGTCTCTCTCAACACCACAGTCACCACCAGCAATTTACCAATAATAGTCTCTTGCCGTGTATAGAGTAAATCATAAACTACCTTCTGGTGAAAACTGGGGTGAAAATCATAACACATCAGAGCGGTCGAATGTTTATAACCGAATCCCGCGGCGGTGGGGTCAATACCGTACGTGTGTGAAAAACGCCAATAAATTCTAGATCATAATTCTGAAGATGATGAAACAACTGATAAGCAATTCTACACCGGCCTCACACCACCCAGTTATTCTCTACACTTCTTAACAACAACCGCTCCACATACAGAAAAACAACAGAATGTTATAAACCTTCAATAACATAGATGTAATTAATCATTAACATAACTATTACTGTATGTATGAAAACTTTAACACAGTGTAGAAATAAGATAAAAATGGGGTCTTTGGTTGTGGCTCGGGGCGTAACATCCTCTTAATGTGTGAACCTATTTATAGTTATGCTGGATTACCTTATGGCAGCCTACCCAAGGTGTGTAGTCCCTGGCATAAATGAGACACACTTGTAATACGGCTGCAACGATAAATATTTCTCCCTATATAATTTGACAGGCCAAAAGTTTTTCACCACAGACAATCTTCATATAAACATACAGTGAAAATTCGTTTTAGTGGACTATATGGAGAGGAAATTTCATTATATCGAGAGCCCTTAACCAATCAGAGTACTGTCCGCATATCAGAGGGTTGGCGACCACAGTCCACTCTAAACATTCTGAGGCCGTTTTTACCAACCCTCTTAACTCTATCATGTTCTCTCTCTTAGCTAACTTCAATATCGTCTGGGTATTTTCATGACTACTATAATCATATTTACATAAATTATAAAATACAGCACATATGAACTTATGCCAGAAACATTGGTAGTCTCTGTGTGAATTATAGGTACAATCACAACCAAATTTCTGTCACCTCTCCTGCAGCTCCATGAACCCTGGGATTCAGTCTTGTGAATCATGAATCTGAAGCATTTATAGATAGAATAATGCATCAATGTCTACTGCTTCGGGTTCACAAGTCTGAGTCCCGGGGTTCATGAAGCAGCAGAAGAGGCGACAGGATATTGACCACGACTGTACTGTGTAAACAAAGTACAGTATAATACAGTACATTTCAGACTACCGGTACATAATAAACAATACAAAATAAACTTATAAACATTTCCTTACTGGGATTTTCTTTCATAAATCATAATTGTTGTCCTTAATACAGAATAATTTACATTTTGAAGATAGAAAAACAACTATGGAAAAAAGTCATATACATAAGACAAGTGACATTTTAACTGTACTGGATAATCAATAAAAATCAAATCCCCTCAAAGACTAAACTCACCTCAGTCAGAAAAAGTCCATTTCTCTCAGGCAAAGTTTGCCTCAGAACAACCTCAAATTCCCCAATCTTTAATACCTCTTGGGCTTAACTCTTAAATGGTATAGTTAATTAATTCCTCATATAAAAAAACATATCTCTTATACACAGACCATAAGGCACAAATTCAATAGCAGCATCACTAGCAATAACAAAAGAGCATTAAAAAATAGTGCCAATCATCGAACAGTCACACCACTGCCCATACAAACACACAGTCATTACTATATGCCTCCAGTCTTTATGAAGGAGAACAATTACATACACTACAATCACAATCAATAGTAATCATTGTGAGTGAATAAAAATAACAATTAATTCATAAATATCAATCACAGTCTGGATGTTGCAATGTGGAATAAATAACAATCACAGTCTGGATGTTGCAAGGTGGAAATAAAATAAAGTCATATATGATTACTTACAAGAATGTGACTAAGGGACTTGATAAAGGCTTACAACATACTGTACAACATAATGCCTCATAATAGTTACTTCACAACAGGTTACAACATGCTGTACAACATACCATGAGCATTAAACCACAACATAAGGGCTCATAATAATTACTTCTCAACACACAACAGGTTACAGCATTCTGTACAACATGCCATTGATTTCACACCATATAAACTCATGCATCACAACACAAGGGTCAAAGGTCACACTTACTTGGGGTTGAGCACTGGGTCAGCCTCGTTGGCACTGATGATGAAGACGGGAAATAACAACGCAAACAAACACCCGCTGGAAAAAAACAAAAGAACGTAGAAAAAAAAAACGTAGAGAAGTATTTACAGAAGAGCCTGGTAATTACCCTCCCCCCCTCCTCCCTCCCCTGGTGTAAGAAAAATGAAAATGAAATCTACTGAAGGAATCCAAGAATGTACATCAAGAAACCACACACTAATATCTCTACATTTATTACTTTTAATTTAATGCTCTTAGTAGTCTGGGTTGGGTTTGGTTTGGTTGGGTTAGGTTAGGGGCGGGGAACTCACCTGGTGTATACTGATGACGGGTACATTGTGATGATGGCCAGAGGAAGGCCAAAACCCATAAAGTACGGCCAGTTCTCCTCGATGAAGCTGGAAAAACAAAAACATAAGCTTTCATTAAATTGTTCCCAGTTGTAAGAACTCATTTGATGATGATGATGAGGATGGGATATCGTGTCATGAAGGGGTGGAGTTCATAAGATTGTATTATAGTTTGTTACAGGAGGCAAAAGCATAATATCAGATAGATAGATATATAGATAGATAGATTTGATTGATGGATGGATATTTATTCATTAATAATTGTCATCATTACATGTTATAATTTACCCCTAAACCAAGAATAACACTCCTTCTTCCACCCAACTTCACCCCACCACCACCAACACACTATCACCACTACCACCAACACACTATCACCACCACCACACTATCACCACCACCACACTATCACCACCAACACACTATCACCACAACACACTGCCCGTAATACTAACCTGAGTCTCTTGTATAGCTCCCAGCCCATATTGAACCATCTGTACTCGAAGGCATAGAGAGCATTAAGCATACACATGTGCACACCACTCAGTATCACCCCTATGCCCACCAGAGGCAGCAGCATCACCAAGTTGGCCTGTGAAATGAAGTCTGTTAGAGTGTCTGTGATTCTGTGATAAACATATTGATTAAATTTGAGTCATTTATGATTTACAGTAATAAAGTCAATGATTCAGTAATAAGGTCAATGTTTCACCTTAAGTCATTTACAATTTACAGTAATAAAGTCAATGAATCACCACAAACCCACAACTTTACTGACTTGAATGAGGAAGAGAAGTTGGATAAAGATGGAGATCAGAACGTCAGCCACAAGTTTGCTGATGCTACTGATGAGCTGCGGTCGTCCCTGGCGCTGACGGTACGCGCTGTCAGCAATGTCCTGCCGGGCAATGGGCGTTAGGATTATTATTGCATTCGAATGGTGGTGCTCAAGAACTGGTTGTTAGCTGTGTAATTGTGGGTTGGTTAGGAAGTTATCTTGATGGGTGGGTGGGTGGGTGATTGAGTGAGTGAGTGAGTGATTGAGTGGGTGAGTGAATGAATGAGTAGGTAGATGAGTGAGTGAGTAAGTGATTGAATGGTTGGGTGAATGAGCATGTGAGTGGGTAAATGAGTTATGAGTGTATGAGTGAATGAGTGAATGTCCACATGAGTAAATGAGTGAATGAATGAGTGACCACATGAGTAAATGAATGAATGAGTAAATACATGAGTCAATATCCTTCACAGACCCAAACAGTCCACCACTGTCAAATTCTGATAACCCTTGAGTATGGCATCGACCTTATAAATTCCTTGCTTTAACCTAATTAGATCATTTAACCCTTTGAGTATGATGACAATGCCTTAGCCCTTTAAATATGCTAGCCTGTTCCTGTGAGTATGATGACATTATACTCAGGGTGTTCAATCATCATACTCAAGGGGTTAAATCATCACACTCAGGATGTTAAATCATCATACTCAAGGGGTTAAATCATCATACCCAAGGGGTTCAATCATCATACTCAGGGTGTTAAATCATCATACTCAAGGGGTTAAATCATCATACCCAAGGGGTTCAATCATCATACTCAGGGTGTTAAATCATCATACTCAAGGGGGTTAACGCAGTATATATTAGTCCTCGGAATATCAAGTATAGGAGTAATGCAATATTCACTCGACCTCAAAGACAATGATTTATCACCGTTCATTCGTAGACGTAATGACAACACGAACCTGGAACCATATTGTGTTGATGATTCTGGAGAGGACGAACAGCGGCAGAACCCAGAGCATGTTGAAGACGGCGGTGAGTGTCGGCCGCACGTACTGCCACACCGCCCCGGCACCCTCGTCCAGGAACAGTCCAAGTACCTGTTTAAGCCCCGGCAACAGGATGTAGTTGAAGATGACCAGACTGAGGCCAAACACGGCGCCGTTCAGGACGCAACATTGTAGGATGCGGTGCGTCACTTTGGTCTCGCTGTAAGGGAATGAGACGAACAGGTGCGTTATATATATGGGAGAAGAAACGCACCAGGTTAACAAACTCCTTCTCTGATCACCTTGTTTAACCTGAAGATTAATCACCCTAACATTACCTGGGAGGGAGGGAGGGAGGGAGTGTCCTAACCTAAAACTAACCTAAACTTTTCTTTCTTAACCTAACCCAAAACTAACCAAACCCAACTAAAAACTAACCTAACCTAGAACAAAACTAACCCATCCCAACCCTAACCTAACCAATTGAGGGCTATATGAGGTAAAATTAAGATCACACCTTAATTAGAGTCAGTGGGGGTGTGGGGGGAATAGCCCTAAACAACATGCAAGGACTAATCAACTTACCGTTACAAAACAGATAAGAACGTGAAGATTTAAGAAAAAACTTACAAGCCAAGATTGAGAGACACGGATTAGGTCATAAAGACCGCATAATAATTAGTCAGGCAAGATTAGACACGGATTAGGTCATAATGCTGAGTAATGATCAGTCAGGCAAGATTAGAGACATGAAATAGATCATAGTGTCGTGTAATAATTAGTCAGGCAAGATTAGAGACATGAAATAGATCATAGTGTCGTGTAATAATTAGTCAGGCAAGATTAGAGACACAGATTAGGTCATAATGCTGTGTAATGATCAGTCAGGCAAGATTAGAGACACGGATTAGGTCATAATGCTGTGTAATGATCAGTCAGGCAAGAGTAGAGACACGGATTAGGTCATAATGCTGTGTAATGATCAGTCAGGTAGAGACACGGATTAGGTCATAATGCTGTGTAATGATCAGTCAGGCAAGAGTAGAGACACGGATTAGGTCATAATGCTGTGTAATGATCAGTCAGGTAAGATTAGAGACACGGATTAGGTCATAATGCTGTGTAATGATCAGTCAGGCAAGAGTAGAGACACGGATTAGGTCATAATGCTGTGTAATGATCAGTCAGGTAAGAGTAGAGACACGGATTAGGTCATAATGCTGTGTAATGATCAGTCAGGCAAGAGTAGAGACACGGATTAGGTCATAATGCTGTGTAATGATCAGTCAGGCAAGTAGAGACATGAATGAGGTCATAATGCTGTGTAATGATCAGTCCAGGCAAGATTAGAGACACGGATTAGGTCATAATGCTGTGTAATGATCAGTCAGGCAAGATTAGAGACACGGATTAGGTCATAATGCTGTGTAATGATCAGTCAGGCAAGATTAGAGACATGGATTAGGTCATAATGCTGTGTAATGATCAGTCAGGCAAGAGTAGAGACATGGATTAGGTCATAATGCTGTGTAATGATCAGTCAGGTAAGAGTAGAGACATGGATTAGGTCATAATGCTGTGTAATGATCAGTCAGGTAAGAGTAGAGACATGGATTAGGTCATAATGCTGTGTAATGATCAGTCAGGTAAGAGTAGAGACATGGATTAGGTCATAATGCTGTGTAATGATCAGTCAGGCAAGAGAGACATGGATTAGGGGTCATAATGCTGTGTAATGATCAGTCAGGCAAGTAGAGACATGGATATAATGAGTGTATTAACAGTCATAGAGACACGGCCTTCACGGATTAGGTCATAATGCTGTGTAATGATCAGTCAGGCAAGAGTAGAGACATGGATTAGGTCATAATGTAATGATCAGTCAGGCAAGATTAGAGACGGATTAGGTGTAATGCTGTAGATCAGGGCAAGTAGAGACATGAATAGGTCATAATGCTGTGTAATGATCAGTCAGGCAAGAGTTTAGGTCATAATGCTGTGTAATGATCAGTCAGGTAAGAGTAGAGACACGGATTAGGTCATAATGCTGTGTAATGATCAGTCAGGCAAGAGTAGAGACACGGATTAGGTCATAATGCTGTGTAATGATCAGTCAGGCAAGAGTAGTGACGGATTAGGTCATAATGCTGTGTAATGATCAGTCAGGCAAGAGTAGAGACATGAAATGGGTCATAATGCTGTGTATCAGTCAGGCAGAGTCAGTTAGGTCATAATGCTGTAATGATCAGTCAGGCAAGAGTAGTGACACGGATTAGGTCATAATGCTGTGTAATGATCAGTCAGGCAAGAGTAGAGACATGGATTAGGTCATAATGCTGTGTAATGATCAGTCAGGCAAGAGTAGATGTACAGACAGTTAGGAATGGTAAACCTAAGCTCTGTAATCAATAGATATACTAAAGCAACTACAGCATGCCCTGGCAATTCACGGTCCTCTATTATTCGTGGATGACACCCTGGATGTACCCAAGAATGTCTGCGGGTAGTTTTAAAGTTGCTGGCATTTTCACGGCTGGGACAGAGAGCCATTTGTTCTAGAGAGAGTAATTTTTACGGGGAAAAAATTGCCGTATGTCAACCCAACCAACTCAACTTTAATAAAAAAGCACGGAATTGACTTGAGAGCAGACTCACATTTTTTCTACCTTTCGATACATTATGTTGTCTTGTTTCTGATTATTTGTGAGAGGATTTTCCCATTATAATATATCTGTGACCCCCCCCCCCACGCCAGCAAATGATATTGGCGGCCATTTCGAGACCCAAACCCCGTGAATTTTAAGGGCATACTGTATTATGACTTATTGGAATTATTATTAAAGTTAAAAATAAAATAAGTGAAATAATTAATTCAAGCCAACAAGCAAAGGAACAAAATTATTACATCAATAAACAAATTAACTTAAAAGACTGTGATTGACGTCCAGGTGGAGGAAGAACTGTGATTGACGTCAAGAAGTGAAAAACTGTGATTGATGTCAAGGTAAAACAACAACTACAATACAAGCCAAGCGAGAATACAATACCGAGAGTGGTCCTTGACATGCACATAGGGATCTCGTAGGATCGTCCACAGGCTCACTAACTCTTTTTGTGACGCTTGTTTCTGCTTCTTCTCGGCTTGCTGGGCCGCTCGTCGCTTAGCCAGGTTGGTCTCCTGTACGGGGGAGGCACGGGGCTTCTTCGGCGCGTCCGCATCGTACCTGAAGATGAGCACGAACCCGGCAAAGCTGTCTCTTACCCCTCGTAAAAACCCGTACACCATTAACTGCAACGAGAGAGGGTGGTCAGGTGGTGAGCATATAGTAGGTAGTAGGCAGCTATCAAACGTGAGATGCCATTACTGTTTACCTTACCTATTAATACAGTATAACATACCTGATACCTAATACATGTATACATACCAAATGCTACATATGGATACAGTCATCATATACATTTAGTTGTTGTTGCTGTGCAGAGTAACATTTAAGCATTACCACGCACATATTATGAGTCTAACATGGATAATGTATTTGTAGACTGTCATTTCGTTAATATAACCATATTAATTATATTCATATGAAACACGTTAATGACAAACGGCAGGAAACGTCTTATATATTACATGGCAACCATTGTGGCATGCAGGGTTACCACCTTTACGCCTGATCTTCTACCACATCCCCAAAACATGCGTCCAATGAGTCTTACTGTCATGGGGAGAGTTGCATCATCCCCGACCCCTAGCCTAGCCTAACCTGGTGTGGTCTAACCTAACCTGGGGAAAGTTGCATCTTCCCTGACCCCTAACCTAACCTAACCTAATCTAATACTAACCTAACATACTACCAGCATAACCTAACCTAACCTTACTTAATCTAATACTGTACTAACCTAGCCTGAAACTAACCCAAGACTAACTTAACCTAACCTAAAACAACATTAGGTAATTATATAGGACTAACCCGTGAGCGAAATTGATTGAAAAAAATATAAAAACGCTGGATTTTCATGGTTATATTATAGTGGACACTGTTGTAGTTTGTGGAAATGTGTTAAAAAAATTAATATATTTTTTTAAATAAACGTTACTTAACATTTGTGGCTACGAAGAACAGACCCAACCAAACAAACCTACCTACCTAACTTCCCCAGTATATTAAACACAAAGAACTTACTATGATACGGTGAAATTTGAGGCATTTTCTGGGGTGAGATGATACAGCCGCACCAGCGCTACGCAGCCCTGGCGGGTTAGTCCTATATATTAACCCAACATTAGCCTAACACGAATCCTAACCTAACCCCATAAAACAATTTCCTATTAAACAAGACAAGGATACCAAATATATTAAAATTACTTAGCCATTTATTATATATCACATGAGATAATTTAACCTGAAACAAAATCACAACATTCCTGATAAAATTCCAATGAAATTAGTTTTTTACGGACAAATTCCCATCAAGTAATTTCCTAGGAGACAAAATTAATTCACTAAAATACGAGTAAAACAAAATTCCAAAATCTCTCGTTTATTTTAGGTTTTGAAAACATATTATTATATATTTAATTAACTTATATTATGGTTAAATTATGAGGAAGATTTTAGCGAATTTGTGTGCCATAGTTACTAGTTATTAATATACCCTTTGTACAGAGGTCAAGTATACCTAGCAACAACCTTACTTATATCCCCTTATACTCCCGTACACCACCTTATATTCCTCATTAATTCACTAACAAAGTCATTCATGAATTCACCGGTAAATTGCCCTCTATGTCTTGTTAATCACGTAATTAATATTCCCAATATTTAACTCGTCTTCTTACCTTCAGTGAATCCATTTCACATACTATAAGTGATGCGATCAACAGATGATGCTCTCTTGTGTATTATGGTTGTTAAGGGGGTTAATAGCCTCATTAAGCCGTTATAAGGGAGTGAATGCTGCCGGAAGTGTGATCTGAACCGCTTGGGTCGCCATTTTCTGGTGTTTATTGTTTACAGTCAACAGCTGATTCACACGGGCGGGAAATAAGAATTTTCTATGCATGACGACACTTTAAATATTAATAATTTTAGAGAATTAAATATCTATTCACAACTAAAATTATATATATACTTTATTTTATCGAGTATTATGGAATTTTTCTCTCTATATTCGTCTTATCTTTTGTCTTTACAAGGGTCAGCTGAGTTGACCTGACCCGCCCTAAAACCAGGTGAGGGTCATTAGGGTTGGTACCTCAAAACAATTAGATCAGTGATTAACATACCACGTCTAAAATGACCACAGCTTAAACACCAAGTACCTGCTATTTAAACGACGTAATATTCTTTCAAGGTCCCATTTTCTTTACATTAGAGCCCCCCGAGAGCGGTGACGGCAAGTTGCTTCATGTTAGAACAAAGAAACTCCGTCTTTGTGATCCAATAATAAGAGTATAAACATTACTACAATATTTACACGAGAACCTATACCACTTCCTTCGTTTCTTTTTTTTATTAATTTGCTTTTAAACGTCGTAAATTTTCTGGGGGTTAGATGGTTGAAACAATATCAGTAAATTTTTTCATATCTGTTGGGAATTCCTGTCAGTGTCCCAGGTCAGGTCAAAGGTCACCTATGTTACCTGAGGTCACTTCAACCAAGCCCGTGTGTGATCTGTATATTAGTCTATAGCTTTACTTGTTTCTTTAAAAGCCGGTGGTGATAGTGGTGATGGTGGTAGTGGTGGTGATGGTGGTGTCGCTCGGGATGTAATTACCACAATCAATCAACCCAAATTAATCAATCAAAATATATCAACCCAAATAATCAATAAATCAAAATCAATCAACCCAAACCAATCAATCAAAATCAATCAATCAATCAAACCAATCAATCAAAATCAATCAATCAATCAAACCAATCAACCAACCCAAATCAATCAATCAAAATCAACCCAAATCAATAAAAATCAATCAATCAACCCAAATCAACCAATCATCAGTGTCATATATAAACACACACACTTCATACTGTTTATTATAAAAAAAAGGCTACAGAAATTTGAAGTCTCGTAAAATATTCAGAACTTTTTTTTGCAATTCTTCTTCTTTGGGAACAAGAGATTTAAGTAAAGAAATACCATACCATAATATCAGATGCTCGGGCAAGAACAAGCCAAGAGACACAAATAACCTGATACTATAAGGTCAAAATTGCTATACTTTAACAGTGATTCTTGACTTTATTTACTTTTGCTACCTATCTCCTTCTTACCTGGAATGCCTCATATATTTTGGCAACCTATAATAATAATAATAATAATAATAATAATAATAATAATAATAATAATAATGATGATGATAATAATAATAATGAACACCAGATTATATATATGACAATCTTATTCATTCAAAAGTAAAACCTCCATATAACGAACTTCACTTTCCATATAGTCCGTTAGATGGGGGTTTTACATGTAACTGACCCCTCATATAATGGACTTTCCTCTCCATATAGTCCACTAAATAGAGGTTTCACGAAAACCTTTTGGAAATGTTCATGTAAATCTTAATACAACTCAAAATACTGTAGAAAAAACACACTACAAAACAAGGTACATCTCTACATTATTATATACAAAGAAACTTCTACTTTCTAAATCAAATTGTTGGTGAACATTCTAAAGACAACAACACTACAGGTTTATCATAACCTACTCTAAAAAAAATGTCTAAAATGACTCAAATCTACTAACATAAAATATCACAGTTATAAACCAAACTAAGTCATATATCCGTCCATAAAAACTGTGTATGGAGTAAGTAAATTATTTTGTATTGTCCAGCAGCTGAGTTGAGTCAAGGTGTGCCAAGACTCCTGTTCAATCATTGATCCTTAATTGGTAGTTAATGATTCTCCACTACCATCTGTGTCCAAAATAAACCACAAGGAACTTCCCCTGATGATGGCCACTGTCCCTACAGCTAACTTCCCCTGATGATGGCCACTGTTCCTACAGCTAACTTCCCCTGATGATGGCCACCGTCCCTACAGCTAACTTCCCCTGATGATGGCCACCGTCCCTACAGCTAACTTCCACTGATGATGGCCACCGTCCCTACAGCTAACTTCCACTGATGATGGCCACCGTCCCTACAGCTAACTTCCACTGATGATGATGGCCACCGTCCCTACAGCTAACTTCCACTGATGATGGCCACCGTCCCTACAGCTAACTTCCTCTGATGATGGCCAGTCCCTACAGCTAACTTCCACTGATGATGGCCACCGTCCCTACAGCTAACTTCCACTGATGATGGCCACCGTCCATACAACTAACTTCCACTGATGATGGCCGTCATCTCTACAGCTAAACATAACTTCACCCATGATGGCTGCCATTTTAAAGCTAAGAAATCACCCCAAGATATCAAATAAAAACATTCAATTGAGTATTCCATTAAGGACTGCATCTGGTGACCCAATACAGTTCTAGATACGTCCGGCAAATCAATTACTATACTGTACTACCATTAACCTCCGGTACAGGGGCCCCTCTGAGCTGAATAAAATCATCTTGCATTAGCCAAATAAAATAGTAAAAGCAGCGTCCCCAAAGTGAAGGAGTTAAGCTATCAAACCAGAGCCATCAAAGGGTGAGTTAATACCCCTGACCAACACCATAGCTTAGTGTTCATCAACTGAGTACAATACAAAGAATCTGAATATGGAGTCTAGTTGTGATGTTCCCAGTAAAACTTCAATTATTATGGAGAAATTCCTTATCTAGACACCAACAGACAGACAGGCACAACCAATAATATATCCCCTAAAGCTCTCTCCGTCACAAGGTTAAAACATAAATTATCCCTTGTAACGTGCGTGAAGCGTCAAGGAAGCAAACAGCCGCCAGACTTGTCCATCAACCTTATCCCAAGACAAGAGATGTGGAACCTACAATGAGAAAATGATTTGGGTTTAATCACATATTTTAAACCAGAATAAAACAATAACAACTTCAGCAATGATACAAATGATTCCAAATTAATAAAGTACACAAATATTAGTAAAGATTAAAGCAAATTATTAAACCACTTCATCAAATAAACACACACAAATGTCAAAGGAAACTCACTTGTAATATTACCAACAGAATTTCACGAATTTTATGGAAATTATTTATTTATACAGAGACAAAACAACAACTAAACCCCTTCAGACTTTATAGAAATAATTTGTTTACAGACAAAAATGACTATACATACAGGCTTTTTGAGTGAGGGGGATAATAACTACTACTCCTACAGGTACAGTACCACCATAGACCTCACCTACTACAGGTACAGTACCACCATAGACCTCACCTACTACAGGTACAGTACCACCATAGACCTCACCTACTACAGGTACAGTACCACCATAGACCTCACCTACTACAGGTACAGTACCACCATAGACCTCACCTACTACAGGTACAGTACCACCATAGACCTCACCTACTACAGGTACAGTACCACCATAGACCTCACCTACTACAGGTACAGTACCACCATAGACCTCACCTACTACAGGTACAGTACCACCATAGACCTCACCTACTACAGGTACAGTACCACCATAGACCTCACCTACTACAGGTACAGTACCACCATAGACCTCACCTACTCAGCAGCAGCCGCCGCTTCTAATATTTTCTTCTTCCAGTCTTCAAAGTCCGTCCCCTTATCTCCTCCTCCATCCTCCTCCTCCTCACCGTCCTCCGTGCCTTTACTTCGCTTCTCCGGTGAACAATCTCTCAGGTTGTCCTCCACCATATCCAAGAGTGTTCTGGTACGCTTCTTGTTGTTCTTCACACTCTGAGGTGAACAAATATGCGATACAACTTAAGCTGAACAATGAACAAATACAATGAGATGATACCACATTAGCTGAACATAGAGAAAAATTTATAGGGAGTTTTGTGGAATCACCTGATAATTTGTCCCCCAAGATTATTTCACTTGAAGATTACACCCAAAGCTGTAGATTAGTAAGCTTTCACCTAAGATTAGTTCCCCAAGCTTATTTCACCTGTAGATTAGTCCCCAAACTTATTTAACCTTTAGATTAGTTTCTCAAGCTTATTTCACCTAAAGATCAATCTGCCCAAGCTTACTTCACCTGAAGAGTCCCCCCAAACTTATTTCACCTGAAGATTAGTCCCCCCAAGCTTTCATAAGAACATATCACAGTGGTTTTTACCTTCTGTGTGTGTATCTCCTGGGCGATCTTCACGAGGACGTCCACCAGCTTCTGATACACTGCCCTCTTGCTACAACTCGACTCAAACAACCGCCGCTTGTCCACCTTGATGTTCATGACCCTGAGAAAGTCGTAAAAATGTACGTAGAGTCAACCTGAGGATTAACCGCCTTTATGCTATATTTGGAGAGGTTAGGTTAGTTACGGCATCATTGAACATTAACCACATCACTCTGGACTAAACAATAAGACATACTTCCTCCCCTTCCTTAGTCATCTCTATAATGGTGACGCAGCTGAGAAATCAAACAGTCATTTCACAACTACGGCTTGACATACACACACAGTCTCTCTGCTTACCTACCAGCCCCCTTTCCCACTGACTTAGTGGAAGAATTTGATGTAGCAAAACGTCTGGACAATTTGAAGTTAAAGTGCTCCCCCACCTCCACTGACTTAACAGTGAAACACCAACCTAACCTAACCCCTCTGCTCCATCATCAATGCTTCCCTCAGTCAAGCAAGATGCCCAGCTGACTGGAAGACCTCATATGTGCCATCGTCTCTTACTTCCACCTGAGATCCCTGGTCTGCGAATTGACGTTCGACACCACAACCGCATCCAGCCCATAACGAGCACGTACTGATCGCTATAAGAACAGCCCAGTCCCAACCATTGTAAAAATTATCAATAACTTGTAGTCAACCAGTGTATTCACTCCCAGTCAATCTTACCTTTTTGCACTGTCACTATGTTGAAATGCCCTGTAGTTTGACCTTCTCCCCACCTAGTTATTATATATCATATTTGTATCACTTATTGTACTTGTATATTATTTGTCAATCAAGAGACCCATTCACCAATTATGTAACTGTATATTGACAGCTCTTACATGTCAAGTATATTCATTAAAAAAAATTAACATTAATGAGGCTGAGATTAAGAGAGAATGATAAACTGACACACAACATAAATGAAGAACAAGTCTATAACAAATGAACAATGGAGAACATGAACATAACACACTCAAACTAATACACATTTGAACAGATGAACAGTGAAGAATATGAATATAACACAAACACTGATACTCACATGAACAAATGAACAATGAAGAACATGTACATAACATACTCACAGATACTCAAATGAACACCGAAGAGCAAGAACACACCCACGCCAATACTCACTTGCAAGCAGCGACAACAGCAGCCGTCTGGTACACAGGAAGACTCGTATCAATATCACCTTTATTCCCGTCAGTACTGTCATCATATCTACGGAAAACACACAATATTTATTACTACGTGTCCTTTGTCTCTTTAGCACTCAAGTCTTATAAAAATATAATAAAAAAATTACTTGAAATTTAGACCCCTTAAATTTATTTCACCTGATGATTAAACACCTTAATGTCACCTGGAGGATTAGATTAGGTTAGGTTAGATTAGGTTTTAAAATCATGAAACATAATCTAATATCTTTTAAAATTTTACAGGAGTCGACACCTACTGCTTGAGAGCCCGCTGTGCCAAATTTGTGGCGGCTGTGGCAGAGTACGTGACGCAGAGCTCCGCCACACTGACGCCAGGTGACACGTTGAGTAAGCGGCTCACAGTCTGACTCATCCCGACGTACTGTGACCTCCTCAGCCCGGCCAATTTTATCACCAAATTCTGCGACAAAAATGATCAATGAGATAAACTGAAGATTAACTGCCCTAATGCTACCTAAGGGTTAAGTTAGGTTAGGTATTGGTTAGGTTAGGTTGGGTTAGGTTGAGTTAATTTAGGTTGGGTTGAGTTGGCTTGGGTTAGGTTAAGATGGGTTGCATTGGGTTAGGCTGGGTTAAGTTAGGTTAGGCTGAAATGAGTTAATCTGAGTTGGGTTGGGTTAGTTTGGATTAGGTTAGTTTAGTTTAGGTTAACATTAGGATAGTTAATCATAAGGTTAATATTTATCTTCCTTCATTACAAATTAAAAAATATAAAAAAATAAATAAATTGATTTTTGGATAAAGATCAATTATTAACCTAACCTAACCCACTGACCTTATCCACCGTGGCGCCTGTGAGAGCGGCTGCCATCTCCAGGCATATAACGGCTTTACCCGACATACTGAGAGACAGCCTTGAGCCGCCCCGGACAGCCAGTAGTCGGATTAACTCCTCTGCTTTCCTGAAAAACAAAATAATGTCTCAGAAATGCTTTATTAATTACAAAAATAATAGTGATTTTAATACCACTTACAAAAAATAAGTTTTTATTATTATTACTTATAAAAATAATAGTATTTTTATTACCACTTACAAAAATTAATACTTTTTTTATTATTATTACTTATAAAAATAATATAGTGTTTTTATTACCTCTAACAAAATATAATATTCATTTTATTATTACTTATAAATATGAAATACAGTAGTGTTTTTATTACCACTTACACAAATAATATACGTTGATTTTATTGATATTATTACTTATAAAATAATATAAGTTGATTTTATGACCGCTTACAAAAATAATTTACGTTGATTTAAATATTATTACTTATGAAAATAATAATATGAAAGGGTAAGGGGGGAAGAGTTACTTTACTGAGTTGGTGAGGTGTTACTTGACTCAGTGAGGTGTTACTTTACCTGAGAGTATTAGTGGAGGTGAGGCCAAGCTTAAGGGCCAGTGTGTGTAAGGCTGCTACCTCCATCACCCCCACGGAACCAGAGCAACGGAGACTACCACAGGAACCTAGAAACCACCACAGCACTAACTCCACCACAGCAGCACTAACTCCACCACAGCACTACTAAATCAACCACAAAGTCTCAAAGGGTCCAAAAATCCACCTCAACACCACACTTCCACCACAGTTTGTTTACGTCCCAAAAAGCGCGGGCTAAGGCACAACATTTTGGGTTCCTTTAGCTTAGAGAAATCCCCCCAAAATCCCATAAATTATTCTATTTTCTTTTATTCTCAGAACTTATTGTGGATTTTAATAATTTTTTTAGTTAATTTAATTTTTTTTATTGTAATAAGAGTTGTAAATAAGGTTATAGTTATATTAAAATTACTTAAAGAATGGTGGTAGGATTAACATCTGCATCTTGATTTGTTGAATATCTGTCCAGTCGTCTCTCAGGGGGTTATACTTTATTCGCCATTTATTGTATATTTAGCTCCCCGATTCCCTAAAACTCATAAATAATCCTCCCATAATAATAAACATGAGAGTTTTTAATCATATGGAGGCTTATTTAAGACCATTAAGGGGAAAAATAACAGTACAATTTCTAGAGAGCCATTGTGCCAGTCCCAATATGTCCTCCCAGGTAGTGGTGGCAGACGAGATTGATGTCGACTTTTTACCTGTAATTTACCAGTACCTGAGGTGGTGAGTACCTGAAGGGAGGGAGAGACATCACCTGGCTGTCGGAAGCTATACAAGGGAGTAATAGCTGACGTATATGATAAAAAAATGGCGGATTTATGGAGATAGGCGAGACCTCTGATGACTGGGACATTCTAGACGATGTCATAACCTAACCACGAACCCTTTATATAATTCGTCTTTAAGATGTAAAAATAACCAAAATCTCATTAAATCAAAATAAATCGAACCTAATTATCATGTAGTAGTCATAATATGATTAGTATATACGTAATTGCCTCGTTAAATATGAAATCTGAGGATAGGTTAGCGGGTACAGTTCGTGGCAGATATACTAACATTGTGACGCCGGAGGTCCTGTGTTACCTAACATGTTCGAGGAGATAATGTCCTTTAAAACAGGTATTTATATGACTTTATCCTTATTAACAGGTATATATATGACTTTATCCTTATTAACAGGTATATATATATGGCATTATCCCTTTTAACAGGTGTTCACATGACTATAATAGTAGGTATATATATACAAAAGTAACCAGTTAAAACAGTCGTACATAACATTTTATAGGATCTTTAACCCTTATATAACCGGTATAGAGGAGCTTTAACCCTTATATAACCGGTATAGAGGAGCTTTAACCCTTATATAACCGGTATAGAGGAGCTTTAACCCTTATATAACCGGTATAGAGGAGCTTTAACCCTTATATAACCGGTATAGAGGAGCTTTAACCCTTATATAACCGGTATAGAGGAGCTTTAACCCTTATATAACCGGTATAGAGGAGCTTTAACCCTTATATAACCGGTATAGAGGAGCTTTAACCCTTATATAACCGGTATAGAGGAGCTTTAACCCTTATATAACCGGTATAGAGGAGCTTTAACCCTTATATAACCGGTATAGAGGAGCTTTAACCCTTATATAACCGGTATAGAGGAGCTTTAACCCTTATATAACCGGTATATATAGGAGCCTTAACCTTTAGCTATATGGGAACTTTAATATATAAGTCCTTCATGACAAAATATACCGAGTAAATTTGTTCGTGTGACCTTGTGTTTCCTGCTATATAACCACAGTATATATTATTATGAACAACTTCCAAATAGGTGGATGACCGGGACGATAATTTGACCTATTCTTGTATACAGTTTGGAGAAGGAACAGGCAGACTTAAGCCGGGTGTCACAGGAGTCAACTCAGAAAGTGTTAGACCTGCAGCGAAAGATCCAGACGGCCCGTGAACAGGTGAGAGTCAATCCCCTCCGAGTTGCCTCTATATTGTACGTGACTTAATAAATAACAAAAATTGTACCATTAACTTCTTCACTATGAGGACGCCATGGTAACCACTTGTGTACCTGACAATTAAACACCCTAATGCTAACCTAACCTGACTTAACCTAACTTAGCCTAACCTAACTTAACCTAATCCTTCCAGATAGTGTTAAGGTGTTTAATCATCAGCTTAAATAACCATGGGTGGGTAATTGTTCGTGTGGTCCCGAATGAGTAAATGATGTACTGTATCTTTACTAACGACATCGTCATCATTCCCGGCAGGTGCGTAGATTACCCGGAGTGGAATACAGCCGAGAGGAGCAGCTACGTCGCCTGGAGGCCCTGAGGAAGCAGCTGGCCCTTAAGAAGCGTCTGTTGCTCAAGTACAAGGCTAAGAGTGAAGCTCCTCACTAGTTAGGTAATGAGCTTACTTCACCTACAGTAGATATTAAACACTAACTTAACCTAACCTACTCAAATAAAATTAACCTAACCCTTCCAGGTATCATTAGGGTGGTTAATCATCAGGTGAAATATAAATTGGGGTGTCTGATCGCCAGGTGATGGGATTTTATTCTAGAAGTTATTGATCCACTGTAGGATACATACATACATACATAAGAACAGAAGAAATTGCAGATAAACTATGGCTTCCTAAAAAAAATTCTTTTCACAGTTGTGTTCATATTTGCAGACAGCGAGAGGTTATGGTGCTGCGCTACCTTCTACAACGGCTGCTGAACTCTCCCGAGATAATCGATAAGTTGGCCGAGTCTTATCCCATCCGTCGAGCCGCACAGCTGACCGCTTACGCCTTCCAACGCGGCAAAGAGGCCATAGAGTCTGAAGGTCCTAAGCGCGTGGGACAGTTCAAGAAGGACTTTACACAGGAGGTAAAAGAAGGGTTTAAGAAGATTCAAGAAGAGAATAAAAAGAGGTAAAATTAGGGACTTGGATTTGTTGCGAAGAGGAAAATCAAAGGTGTCAATTTGTTTCTCATACAGACAAACATATATTGTGCGAGTCCGTCTCGTGCACAATTATCGCCGCATTTGCCGTCGTCCAGAAGGTGTCGGGGAAGTTGTTAGGGTACCCGGAAGACTCTGTCCCTCGTAAATACCATTATGCCTGTAGCGGCTGCCAGCGCGGATCAGACTGACCAAGCGGCCGAGGAAAAGAAGCCCAAGTGCAAGGCGTGCTGTGCCTGCCCAGAGACTAAACAAGTTAGGGATGCCTGTATTGTTGAGAAGGGTGCAGAAAATTGTCAAGAACTTATAGAGGCTCATAAAAAATGCATGAGAGATATGGGTTTTAATGTTTAATATTGCCAGGTGCCATAAGAGTGATGATGAGCAGAGGATAGTACAGTATTGTTTTCCTTAATAGTATGTTACTAATTTAGTCATTTTTTGTGTTGGAATATGAACAGTGTTGAGTGAGAACCAAGTTTCCTGAATAATGACAACAACGTCCCAGAAGCACACTCTCTTTGTGGCTGAACCCATGGGAGACAAGCCCGTGACCGAACTAGCTGGTATTGGAGAAATTTTGGGCAGGAGACTGGAAAACAGAGGCTTTGATAAAGCTTATGTGGTTCTGGGCCAGTTTCTGGTTCTCAAGAAGAACAGAGAACTGTTTCTGGAGTGGCTGCAGGACCTGGTGGCAGCCAAATCCAACCAAGCATCTGAATGTTACCAGTGTCTAGCTGACTGGTGTAGTGAGTTTCTGTAACCATTGTTTACAGTGGACAATCTGCCAAGTCTTTGAACTTTGCTGCAGTGAGCTCAGGCATTGTCCATTATATAGAAATAATAGGTTAAAGTACACTATTGTACAGGAGGCCAGTCACAGTAACCATGTCGCACAAAGGCCACTCTGTGTTGACCATTGAGTCAATAGAGTCAAGTCAAGAGGTGCAACAGAGGCGGGGCTCAGTGACCAACTACTGCTACAGTGTCTGGTTCAACTTGAGACCTTACTTCTCTGTGGCCAACAACAAGCTTCCTTACAGAGTGTTCTCCTCCATGGTACCGCCCTTGTTTTTCCCAGAATTCCGGCGGGTTTACTCGGACATGAAGGGTCCCACGTGTGTGGTGATGACCCTGGCGTTGATCCTGCTGTACGGTCTTCATAGTCCACACAGGACTCTAGCAGGGGAGCTGCTGGTCACCGCCAAGCTCACTGTCGGATATTGGTTTTGTATCTCCTTCGTAGCTTTCATGTTGGGTTATTTCTGTCAGACCAGCCTGACACCATCCCAGTTGGTGTCCATCACCGGCTACAGCCTCACGGGCCACTGTTTGGTTTTATTAACGGCAGAGGTCCTGCACCAGGAGGACAGTCACAGCGCGTTCTTCTTCCTTACCACAGTGTTTGGGGGTCTGGCCACCGGTAGAATGAACATGATTGTTCTGGCACGAACTCCTGGACCCGCCCAGAGGCTGCTCATGTGCTCCACGCTGGCCAGTATTCACCTCATGCACTTGATATACATCCACTTTGCTTGTATGAGAAATAAATTTGACATTTAGATGCACTAAAGAGAGGACCAATAGCCTCACCTTGAAGTGAATGTTTTACAAGGAATACGACCTTGAATTACCATAATGATATTTAATTAATTTTGTACATAATATATAATTAAAGATGGCTTCATACCAGCTGTTGTTATATTACTTTATTAGATGTGTTGGTTGAGAAATGGACGAGTAAGAGACTAAGAATACTAATGGTGGTAGTTTAGGGAGTGGAGTGGCCATGGTTACTACCCTTGTTGAAGAAACTGACAAACAGTTGACAAAACACAGATAAGTGGCCGTAGCTCTCAGTGGAGGATGGGGTTGATATATACAGCTGTGGTCACTGTGGGTCAATACTTAACAGATAAGTAGTTGCCATGTTTCTACTTTAGTTGGAAAAGTTAATCGAGTTGTCGAGTTGGTCGCTGCTGACGTTTTTGCTAATGATTTAAGCAGAGGACCCAGAGATGGTTGAAACAAGGAGTCCCAACCAAACCTAATGACTACCAAGGAATCTCAACTTAACCTACCAATACAACCATATCACCAAACAAAACGGACTCGGTGGATAAAACAAAATCAATATATGTTTAGAAATTAACCAAATCCAAGGAAATATTTAGTCATTTAACCCCCTGAACTGACCAACATGTTAGCCAAATCAAGCAGTCAGTTTAGTCCAGCCTCCAAGAGGGACTCACTGAATAAGAGCAATGGTGTTTTAAATGTGCAGCCTTCATTTTTTACTATGATAATATATGACGAATTTATTTATATACTTTTGGGTTGATATTATTGTACATGATATAAAATTTTTAATTAAATGTTAATTTTTACCTATATCAAAACTACTACTACAAGGGTTAATATAATATCACATCACTGTACCTATAATACAGTGAGGGGTACAGTATACTATCTACAGGTGATGATGTGAATACTGTAACAATGATGTAAAAATAATGAAGGGGTTACTCGCTGTAGTCAATATTAGTAATTTATACATCTGTAAAAAGTTATTATTGTACTGAATAAAGGGAGAGTTTTTGTGGTATTTTATTATCAATGTTATGAATAAATTATCTTGGTGATTATCTTTGGTAAGGAAGATGTTTGAGTTATGGTAAGTTTATCTGTGATGTTCAGTACAGATAGAATTTAAGCCATCTTTCATAACAGGTCTGAAAATAGGAAGGTTGTTTTTGTGTGTGTATAAATTTTGGTTGATACATACACACACCTTCACTATCACACACCTTCACTATCACCATCTTTCAAGACTGGCCTTATCTTCACTTACCTTTATGGGGAAGAATTAAAACAGCATAAAGAATTAGTGTACAGTACAGGCAAGAGTCACTACATAAGGATCTCTCAACACCGACCTTACCTCCATCATTCACCGAGGAAGAATTAAAACAGATTATAGAGAAATATTTTTTTTACTGGGTTATGTGGACACGGCGGTGTACATGACTAGACGTAAACAACACAGACGGGATGATTCATGTTCTACGTAATCTTACCCCAAGACTCGATGCCTCGTGTACACTCGCTCCAGAGAAGCATCTTTTGTTATTTTGTGCGAGGCCACATGACCCAACGGACAAAGGATTCTCACAACCCTACCGAGACAACGGGTCACGGTGTTTATTTTGAAATTCGTTGCACCTCAACTAATGCCCCTTGGAGCGAGTATACCCGTGCTACATGAGATGATATTACAATTACTATGTGAAATGTTACTCACTTTTTACTCACTACAGTGTAACTACATAATATGGGGTCTATATCAGAAGGTACAGGTCAAGGGGGCCCCAATCCTTATAGCCCCCAAACAGTCCCAATGATCAGGTTAGGTTAGGAGCCTATGAGGACTGAGGCCATACAGTACAGCTACCATTCTCCTGGACTTATGATTTCAATAAACTCCTAATATAGGTTTAACTCTTTTTAGTAAGTCATTCTAGAAATTTTTGGTCATTGACGATAGAGAACCGACAAAGTGAGAGATAAAACGACGACACAGTTTGAATGTTTAGTGGCCAGACGACAATAACATGTACGATCCACGCGGTCACACCCACATCGACACTTCCTTAACTCACAATAAATAAGGTAAAAATTCTATAAATTTTTTTCATCTATTTTCCACTTCATGTATATACACAAACAATCATTTGGTGAAAAAAACAACAAGCAAACGGTTTTAAATACATCGTAACTGTGTAGGTGGGAGTCGACTGTACGGTGAGACTCGGACAAAGGACATTTACAAATCTCTCGGGGTAAAGTGACGTGGGCAGACTGTGTATTTTATATTTTTTTTAGCGGTCTATCTGGCTCACTGCTTCATTGTACAAGTTTGAAAATTATTTGGGAACAGTATAGTGAAACCTCTATTTAACGGACTATAGAAAGAGGAAAGTCAATTACATCGAGGGTCCATTAGATGTGAAACCTCAATCTAACGAACTATCTAAAGAGGTAAGTTCATTATATTGAGGGCCCATTAGATGTGAAACCTCAATCTAACGAACTATCTAAAGAGAAAAGTCCATTATATTCAGGGCCCATTAGATGTTAAACCCCCATCTAATGGATTACCCGGTATATGGTGAGAGAAGTTCATTATATGGAGGTTTCACTGTACAGCATGTTTAAACCTGAAGAGACGGGGACAGAAAAATAAATCGGGTGAATCAGAATGGTGCGGCTAAACAACCCTAACTGGAGGGAGGGACGGGAGGAAACAAGACTCTTAAGCCTACACCACTATAAACAATCCTTACAGGTCAGCCTCATATAAAAAACTATGCACAGTGTACTGACCGACATTATATATATATATACTTTATATGTATTTATTATTATATATTAATATCTCAACAACATTTTAGTGATAACAGGAATGCATCACAGACTCAGAAAGACATAGAAGATATATTTGGCGGCAGCGTTTACCCGGCGCCGCACTTGAGAGGTTCACTCGGTCGGTGGGACGACTTTCTCTGCGTCCCCATGTTACTAGAGACCTTGAAGTATTAACCTCAATCCCAGATATTCCTTTCTTTAAACACCATGTATAGAGGAGCTTCTGTTCGGCTGGTGATCTATCAGAACGTCAAAACAAGAACTTTAGGATCTAGATTTTTGGCGTTAGTTTCGGTGGTCGTTATCGCTGAAGGAAACAGCACCTCAGTTACCCCGGCCCAACACAACGGAAACTGTCCAGAGTAATGACAAGACATCAACATCCAGCAGAGCCACAGATGAAGGACCTACAGTACAGTACTCAAGTTTAATTGACTAACTACACTACAGTTTGATATATAGTATCTACATTAACCAACAAACTTGAGGGATTTTCAGTACTTCGATCCCCAAGATTAGTTTACTTCTGTATAGGCAAGTGTGGTGACAGTTGGATGTCATCTGATGGAAACTAAGTGCTGAAAAATTTATAGCTAGAAACCTTAGAATGCTTATGAACGACGCACTGGCACCTCCACGACACCTTGCTGCACAGTCGTAGGTCATACACGGACATAAGCTACCTCGTCCTCCTGCCGCTCGACCATTGTACAGTTCAGGGCATAAATATACATCAGATCGTGGCATTACTCAGATATTGGCGCTCGGATCACGGAGCTAATATAATGGCAATCAGATCATGGCACTCAGATCGTGGCATTCAGAATTTGAGCTGCCTCTTCTGCAGAGTGTAGAGAAGATGAAGGTCACTCAGCTTCCACCAGGTCAAGTAAGAACAACGCCTTCCCTCATGGCCTGTATCCACCTGCAGGAGAAGAGAGAAAATATTGTAATGTGGAGAGAAAATAAACAGTTGTGGAGAATCAGCAGGGAGGGAGGTGATGAATGGGAGGGTAAGGGGTAGGTACAGACTTAACAATATTGCATAGAGGTGACCATTAAAAAATCCAAACCACAAATTAATTTTTTTAGTTAAATTATGAGGCAGACAAACTTACATTCAGGAGTATTGGGGGTGACTGGTACTGCATCTTGCCAACACAACAACCAATCAAAATTAAGCAATGGTAACAAATCCAACATAACAACCAATCAAAATTAAACAATGGTAACGGGTACCGACTAAGTCAACAGTGAGTGGGCGGAGATTAACGTGATAGGTCAATTGCAGACTCGATGTGATAAATAACTTACAGGGAAATGTCATAATAGATCAAGGCTGAAACTGAGTCAGAGGAGCATGGCAAAAAACACTTGAGGAATGTGGCAAAAAACTCTTGAGGAACATGGCAAAAAAACTCTTGAGGACCTCTATAATAAACTTGTATACAATCACCATCACCTATAATAAACTTGTATACAATCACCAAAAATTAAAATGAGAAAAAAATCACCAAGCAGAAACTCCACCCATTTCTCGACATAATTTGATGCATTAATTTGTGAGTCATCCATTAAGTCACAACTAAATTTAAATATGTGGCAACTTATGCACTTACTGACGACACTAACAATTCTCAGGGAATTTATGTCAAATAATCTACAGACATATTTCCCTCATTCTCTCTCACACACAAACATCCACCTGCCCCCACACCGAGCCATGTTAAGGTGAGCTAATGAACTGTGACATACTATACTTTATTTATTATGATTAATTTGAAATGAAATAACCAGTGTGTATAAATTTAAAGAATAAAGTAAACAGAATCAAAGTTAAATGTTATCCTTTCGAACTTTTATAGCAACAAACTGATAAATCGCATTATAATAGTCAATTAACTGTATATGTGTGAGATCATTTTCTGTGGTCATAATGGCTAGGCAGTTCAGCTTGTCTTCTTCACTGCAGTCAAAGGAAAATTATTAAGGAAATGATGACATAAGGAAAAGTTTGAGGGGCTCCCATCCTGTAATTCTTGGGTACTGTTGTTAAAGCAGCCCCCACACACAAACACACATATGCACCTACCATCCCACCCCCATACACACACATACCCCTACCATCCCACCCACAACCACACACACAAACACCATACCCCCACCATCCCACCCCAACACACACACATAACCCCACCGCCCCACCCACACATCCACCGTCCCACCCACACATCCACCTACCCCCCACACACACAGAGCATAACCCTTACTTCTCAGCAAGATTAGGAGTGTCAGCGTGGAAGACTAGAGGTTGCTGGTTAGGATGAGTCAGCTGGAAGGCTAAACATGTGTCCACGCCCTCTGCCACTTCCTTCACCTGGAGTTAAGAACAACGTCTCATTATTTCTTAAAGAGGTATACAGGTATCCCTAAAATATCATAATTACATTTTTAACAACAGCACAGCTCAAGACTGGGATATTTCCAAGTACTAAAACAATAAGAATTATGTTGACATTTTAAAAAGGAAAAGGAAATATCTCTCCTTTAAGTATTTCCTACTTTGTATTTGTTGTGTGAAATATAACTCAACTTTTAACAATGTATTATACACTATTATGTATACCAATCTACAGTAATGTATTATATGATGGGTTTATGTCTGATAACTTCTTTCAATTTGACTACAGAGTCCAATGTAACAAAATGGGTCTGATTAGTCAGATTAAAATACAGGTTTTGGCACAGATTACTCCATGGTAGCAGTAAACACACAGGGGTGATATATACAGTATTAATACTTTATTGGCTGCTAAGGATACCCTACTTCACCCTCCCACCATATGAACAAAAATGGAACACAAGAAGCTTCTCTGGTATTGATGATGGCCACCGTCCCTAGAGCTAACTTCCACTATAATGGCCACCGTCCCTACAGCTAACTTCCACTAATAATAACCACCGTCCCTACAGCTAACTTCCACTAATAATAACCTCCATATAAGAGTTAATATAAAATTAACCACAATAACCAGAGCAACATTACCCTCTCCATGGCTTCAACTTTGTAGCCAAGTACGGGGATGCTCTGTAAGGCACACACGTCCTGAGGCGCTCGGTACTCATACAACACGCGGTCCTTGAGCACGAACCACCCTCTCCGCCACGACCTCCTCACCATCATCCTGAGATAACCGCACATCTGAGAAGAGGTGTCACTGGCACACACCTGTAATACATAGGTAAGTACATTAAGTGAGACAGTATGGTAAGTAAGTAGATTTAAGTTAAGTAAGTACAGTGTTAAGTAGAGTGAAACCTCCAAATAACGAACTTCTCTCTACATATAATCCGTTAGATGGGGGTTTAGCATCTAACGGACCCTCTATATAACGAACTTTCATCTATATATACTTAGTTAGATGGGGGTTTAGCATCTAATGGACCCTCAATATAATGGACTTTCCTTTCCATATAGTCAGTAAATGGAGGTTTTACTGCATGGCAATAGTAATAATTATAAAACAGTCTCACACACACACACACACACCTACCTCCATCAATCTCTCAGGGATTCGCTTTCTGATACGATTTCTGCCACTATCCCTGACGCCTTTCTTGAACTGAGCTTTAAGGCTGGACACTCTCCTTATCCTCATCCCCGGGTGCTCCTCCAGGGTCGAGGAACCCTCATACTTGTGCTCAAAGTCCTTCTGCAGGATTTCAAAGCAGGTCTCGCAGACTCTGGCTGCCTGATGTTTCTTATATTGTAAAGGAGCGCGGTTGGCTGAGCAGCGATCACACACAACCTGTACAATATATGACAATAATAATGATGATAACAGTAATTAGTGAGAATGATAACAACAATAATAATAATAATACAGTAATAGCAAATATAATAGAAATAATAATAGTGTAACAACAATAAAATAATAATAATAACGATAATAATAATAACGATAATAATAATAACAACACACAGAGGCGGTGGGTGGACGTTACCTTGCCACAAGCTCGGCAGTGGTGTCTGCGGAAGGTGAGGGTGAACTCTGCAGTGCATTGTTGACACATCGTTACTCGGTAGTCAGGGATCCACACAGGTGCCTGAATAACAACGAATAGTAAACAAAAATACACATCGAGATCGACCATTCTAAAACATGTCCCACCCATTCTAAAACATGTCCCACCATTCTAAAACATGTCCCACCATTCTAAAACATGTCCCACCATTCTAAAACATGTCCCACCATTCTAAAACATGTCCCACCATTCTAAAACATGTCCCACCATTCTAAAACATGTCCCACCATTCTAAAACATGTCCCACCCATTCTAAAACTTGTCCCACCATTCAAAGCATGTCCCACCCATTCTAAAGTCCCAATTCTAAAACATGTCCCACCCATTCTAAAACATGTCCCACCATTCTAAACATGTCCCACCCACCCATTCTAAAACATGTCCACCATTCTAAAACATGTCCCCATTCTAAAACATGTCCCACCATTCTAAAACATGTCACCATTCTAAAACATCCCACCCATTCTATAACATGTCCCACCATTCAAAAACATGTCCCACCATTCTAAAACATGTCCCACCCATTCTAAAACATGTCCCACCATTCTATAACATGTCCCACCATTCTAAAACATGTTATTGTCCCACCCATTCTAAAACATGTCCCACCATTCTAAAACATGTCCCACCATTCTAAAACATGTCCCACCATTCTAAAACATGTCCCACCATTCTAAAACATGTCCCACCATTCTAAAACATGTCCCACCATTCTAAAACATGTCCCACCATTCTAAAACATGTCCCACCATTCTAAAACATGTCCCACCCATTCTACGATAAAGGTACAAAAATAAAAAACGAATCGCGACACTTCTTGTTATTGTCGTCGACTTAACAACACAAAGTCGACTCAACGCTCGACACAACGCACCTGTTTGCCGAGTGTTAGCGTCGACGGTTGTTGATATAGCGGCATCTTAGCTTGCATGAAGGTCGAGCGACGCGAGGCATTGTCCTCTATAGCCTCTCTTAGCGCCTCTATCCAAGCATCTCGTTCTTGGGCCGTACTGTCAAGTGATAGCAGGTTAGTGGTGTTTCAAGCAAAGTTCATGATGAAATAAACTAAATAATAAACTAAATAACCAACTGCTCGTATGACTAGTAGGTTGATAAATGATAAAATGGTAAATGATAATAAATATACACAATAATAACTGGTAAAGTGAACAAACCAGCAATGAATCAAACCTAATCTAAACTAACCTAGTCAAAAGTAACCTAACCTAATACTCCACACACACACACACACACACAAACACACTCACTCACTCACTCACCTCGCTTGTAGGGTAAAAGAACGAGAGGTTGATATGACGCTAAATTCGTTCTTAAATTCCTCTGCCGTTGGTGTGTCCACTTTCATCCCCTCCAGCGTTAGTTCACAGTTGAGTCGAAGGGCGCCACCTGGGCCACTGGTCACGAAGCTTGTGTAAAGAAGAACGTCAGACAGCTGTAAATAAACGTGTGTGAGTTACTTGCTTAATCCTTACTGTTTATCATTGTTTGTATACCTGTACTGTCTATGAATATTGTTTGTATACCTGTACTGTCTATATTGTTTGTATACCTGTACTGTCTATATTGTTTGTATACCTGTACTGTCTATGTATTAGTATGTATCTGTCTGTCTGTGTGTATAGTTAAATTACTGTTAATAGCTATGGTAAGTTTATTGTTTAATAGTTTCCTCACCTGTCTCTACCTTGACTAGGAATACCTCACTACTATATGTCGTAAGTTCTGGCCAAATGTCATGGGGTTGTAATAGCTCTCTCTCTCTCTCTCTAGGTCATAACATTCTCTCTTTTTCTCTCTCTCTCTCTCTCCCTCTCTCTAAGTCGTCATAAACCTTGCACTCTCTCTCTCTCTCTCTCTCTCTGTCACACTGTTATCTGTAGAGTATACAGGAAGGTCGACCTTTCTATATCATGTACTATAGTTTTTGAACTGGCCGTCATATCACATATTACAGCAATGCATTTCCTCTCTCACACTAAACAAAAGCTAAACGTTTTTACCCTCACAATAAAGTATAAACATGAAACAAAAGCTAAACAATTTCCCCTAACACTAAAGTAAAACATTAAACAAAAGCTATCAAATATTCTCTCTCACTAAACAAAAGCTAAAACAAAATTATCTCACACTAAAGAATAAACATGAAACAAAAGCATCACGTTTGTTCTCTCACAAAAGCTAAACATTTTCCCTCACACTAAAGTAAAACATTAAACAATATCATCACGTCTCCTCTAACAAAAGTCAAAGCAATAAACAAGAGGATGGCATTATCTACGCCCACCATTACACACACACATGTTGTCTGATAATGCTATGGTGAGGCAGAGCTGAATGTCAAAGAGCTCTGGGAGTGGGGAGAGGAGGAGTGGGGAGAGTAGGAGTGGGATGGGGAGAGGAGGGGTGGAGTGGGGAGAGGAGGGGTGGAGTAGAGGGGTTGGGCTGGGGCAGGAAGAGGAGGGGAGGAGGGTGGGGTGGGGAGGTAGGAGAGGGAAGGGTAGGTGGGGAGAGTAGGAGAGGGAAGGGTAGGAGTGGGGAGAGGAGGGGTTGAGGGGTGGGGAGGATGGGAGGGGAGGGGTGACCATGCAACAGCTGTGAGTCAGATTATGTATCATAGAGTCCTGGCGTGTGGATTAGGTGAAGATTAGACACCCCGAGTTTATTTCATATTACGATTGATTACCTAACCCAAGGGCGGATCCAAGGGGGGTCAAGGGGTCAGGATCCCCCCTTTCACCACAAAATTTCAATACTTCTTTAAAGCAGTATTGTATTCAGGTATCTTTGCATAGTAAAAAGTAATTACTAATGACCTCAGAATATGGCATGCTCCCCCACCCACCACTTTTTGGACACCCCTTTTGATATTCCTGGATCCGCCCCTGTAATCCTATTGCTATTTAAACCTAACCTAACCTAACCTAACCTAACCTAACTTAACCTAACCTAACCTAACCTAACCTAACCTAACCTAACCTAACCTAACCTAACCTAACCTAACCTAACCTAACCTAACCTAATCTAACCAACAACTTTAGCTAGAGACTTTATGGGACCTGAAAGTGTGTGATCTGATAATAGACAGAAAAATACTTGTGGGTTGACTACAATGGAGCCGTTTAGTCCTGATAACAACACTATGAGCTGAAGTGGTTATCTCAATGGTGTGGAAAGATGTGTTAAGTAGACTCATTGTGATTGGATTCACTGTGTGTGTGTGTGTGTTGACAGCTAAAAATAACTTAATATACTATGAGTGTGTGTATGTGTATGTATGTATGTATGTATGTATGTATGTATGTATGTATGTATGTATGTACGCTATAAGTCATCACTGTGCAGCACTTAAACAATTAAGCACTCTAAACCCTTCACCCCAGTTTCTAATATTTCACTCAACTAACACCAGGTGATTTTATTCAGCTCAGACGCTCCCCCGTACACAAGGGATCATTGCACATAATTATACACTAATTATACACTAGATTATAAGCAGGTTACTGTATAACAAGTACAGTATGAGTATGTGTGTATGTTTTGATGATATAACCTTCCTGTAGCTATAATCTTGTCTTCAATCAATCTCCTGTTAGATTAGATTAGGTTAGGTTAGGTTAGGTTGGTCAGGTTAGGTTAGGTGGTTATTCTCCCAAAATAACCAGCATTGAGCTGAAGAAGCCGCCAGCATAGCAAATAATCTGAGTTGTAGGCACGAATGCTTATTTGGGTGAGAGTTGTGAACAGAGTGGCACAACAACCTAGTAAATGTTATGACAGCACCATGAGGATGAGTGCCCTTACAACTAGCATACCAGAGTACCTACAACTAGCATAATGCAGTACCTACAACTACTACTACTACTTTGCTGTCACTAGGAATCGATCATCCAGCTATGGTAAAATGATATGAGTTATTAGGGATGTCACCTTTATTTGAGGTGACAATAGTTAACTGAGAACTGACCTGACTGCCTGACTGACCAACTGACAAGAACTGACTGACTGTCTGTTTGACCCCACAAGAACTAACCGACTGGCTAATTGACCCCAAGAGAACTGACTTGACTCTCTGATTGACCAACTGGCAAGAAATACAATAAGTTAAGACGATAATGCCAAAAAAAAAATGAAAACCCAAACAAACATTATGAACTATACTGTTACCCACCAACTGTTGTCCAGGTTTATAAATACGTCATAAGTCCTTCTATAAGTCCAAGTCCTTCTATAAGTCCTTCTACAAGTCCTAAGTCCTTTCATAAGTCCTTCTATAAGTCCAAGTCCTTCTATAAGTCCTTCTACAAGTCCTAAGTCCTTTCATAAGTCCTTCTATATGTCCAAGTCCTTCTATAAGTCCAAGTCCTTCTATAAGTCCTTCTACAAGTCCTAAATCCTTTCATAAGTCCTTCTATAAGTCCTTCTACAAGTCCTAAGTCCTTTCATAAGTCCTTCTATAAGTCCTTCTACAAGTCCTAAGTCCTTTCATAAGTCCTTCTATAAGTCCTTCTACAAGTCCTAAGTCCTTTCATAAGTCCTTCTATAAGTCCTTTTACAGTTCAAGAATTAATAACTAGAAGCATAAAAATAGACTGATAGATCATATGACTGTATCCTCCCCACCACACACACAAGACAGACACCCACTCATCAACTTCAAGTATACCTACACCCACCAACACAGTCAATACAGTCAACCAGTCATTATTATCAAGTACACCTACACCCCCCACCTCCACAACACAGGTTCAAGCACACTTACCAGTTACCACTCACACAGCAACAGTCAACCAGTCATCATTATCAAGTACACCTACACCCCCCACCCTCCACAACACAGGTTCAAACACACTTACCAGTTACCACTCACACAGCAACAGTCAACCAGTCATCATTATCAAGTACACCTACACACCCCACTTACCAGTATAAAGTACCTTGGCTGCATCTCCCGACGACACAGCTTCAGTAGTTCTCCCTCCTTCAGTAGATATCTTCCCGGCCGCACTAGTTCATATCGAGGACCTCTTGTGTTGCTACTGCCGGTGTTGCTGCTGGTGTTGTCATGGTCTCCACTAGTGCTACTACTGCTACTGAGTCGATCCTGGAGCGCCAGTAGCTTCATAAAGTTCGTCTGGAAGAAAAGGTGAAATTTTAGTCATGTATGTTCGGTTAGTTGTGTAGTCGAGGCCAAAATCCCATCAAATATTTCACACAAGACAAAATCCATAACATTAGCACAAAATCCCCAAACATTCACACAAATCCCATAACATTCTTAGCACAAAATCCCCATAACATTCTTAGCACAAAATCCCCCATAACATTCTTAGCACAAATCCCCATAACATTCTTAGCACAAAATCCCCATAACATTCTTAGCACAAAATCCCCCATAACATTCTTAGCACAAAATCCCCATAACATTCTTAGCACAAAATCCCCATAACATTCTTAGCACAAAATCCCATAACATTCTTAGCACAAAATCCCCATAACATTCTGCACAAATCCCCATAACATTCTTAGCACAAATCCCCCATAACATTTATGGTTAGGTTTGTTAGGTAAGAATGTCAGGATCAGGAGAAGTTACGTCAGGTAAGATAGGGCAGGGTAGGGTAAGGTTAGGGCCTTATACTAAAATATAAGAGATGTAAGGGGGCATGTAGGTGTAGGGAAGCCTGACCCTAATATTAACACAGTATAAGGGCCAAGTAGGGAAGCCTGACCCTAATATTAACACAGTATAAGGGCCAATTATCAAGGTGTGAATGGGATAAGGGACTATGCCTTACACACCAAACCCTTACCTTTCTGTATAAACGAATATAAGGGCTCTAGGTATTAGGGTTCCCCCCCCTGCTAAAGTACGTAAGGTATGAGGGCCTTATTGTGAGGTATGGAAGGTAAAGGGCCTCATATCCTCTTCCTGTCAGGGGAGAACCCACAACTCTATAACCATCAGTGACGTCACTATGTAAACAATAGAGTTGCCATGTGTCGCCAGGAAGTGTAAGTTGCCAGGTCTCGTGAGATACTTGGGAGAGCGTGATTTTTTTTTCTTTTTTTTTTCTTTAAGAACCATCTGTATCTCTCTCTCAGGAAAGTCATTGATACTGTATAGTTCTTGAGTTAGATTTATAGAAAGAGAGAAAGACAGACAGATCGATAAAGACAGAAAGAGAGAGAGAGAGAGAGAGAGAGTGGAGAGAGAGAGAGAGAGAGAGAGAGAGAGAGAGAGAGAGAGAGAGAGAGAGAGAGAGAGACAGAGATATTTATTGGTAGAGAGAAACAGACAAATAGAGATCAAGAGAGAGAGGTAATGAGATACTGCAAGCGGTGGTCTACATTACAAGTCAGTACAACAGAATAACAAACATAAATTATGCCACGTAATCACCTCATTATCTTAAGAGGAAAAAAACTAAATTAATAGACAATTCTCAGTACACCTTATTATTTGGTATAAAAGAACAGCCCTTAATAGGTTAGGTGAGGTTAAAATAGTGTCCAGATTCTACTGTGACTACTTTAATTAGATACGTTCAAGCAACAATATTTAGATGTCTATTATTATTGTTATTATTATTATTATTGTTATTTACGGAATGTTCTTCAAGTAATTCTCTAAGTTAATGTTGTAACCTAACTGATGTAAAGTAAATCACAAGTGTTAATTTCTATATTATTTAAAAATTTACCTCAAGTCAGATTCAGTCTTCCGTTAAATATTTATAAACCTCAAGTGTATTTTAAACTTGGACATTAAGCAAATAAATAGTCAAATAAACAACATTGATTACTGAGGAATTTGTTCAAGAGCTCACCGACTTAACTAAAAATACATTACGATAAATAAAATACGATCAATTCTGGTTTATTATTAAAAGAGTATTATATGATGAAATATTAGACTCAGGTAAGTATTATATTATCCTTTAGTCACGGTGAGAGTAATGAGTGTACGGACTAAGCTTTATGAACCCTTGTCAATGGATTAAGGAAAGTTAGTGGTGACGCTGGCAACATGGCGGACAGTACTTGTTGCTAACTCTCAGAGACCCTTAGTATAAGTGCAATTTTTATTTATTTAAAACTACCCTGGAATAAACATACTTACTGCTTTGTTTTAGTTTAATATATTTGCAATTTTACCACTATATTATCCTCTTATAGATGTAACGAAAAGTAAAAATAAAAAGTAAAAGATATATTGGTAAATAATATCCCCAGCTAAAGGGATAATTATCGTACACTATATGGCTGCACCTTAAAGATGTTTACTCCCCCCAAATATGATAATTTATTCTTATTCATGACAGCGGGAGAATAAACCACATTACACAGGTCTAAAATTAATTCTGATGTCATATTAACCGTTAAATCTTTCTCGTTCAAGGTTAAAAAGCCAGTTGTATTGTCCTAACATCTCCTGAAGAAAAGGAAAAGTTTTCGTACAACTTACCACTCTTTATCACAGATTCCCAAGCCTTCGTACGATAATAGAGATAATTAACATACACTTTGGCACAATCTAAACAATTTTGATATATCGTCATGGAGAGAGAGAGAGAGAGAGAGAGAGAGAGAGAGAGAGAGAGAGAGAGAGAGAGAGAGAGAGAGCAATCCTATACTCTCTTCACTGTCTCACCTGTCGACGTGTGGTTAATCAAGGCCAAAGCTGAGTTACCTATCTGCCTTGTTTATTTTTTTACTTATATTACTTAAACAAATCTTATGAATGACAGTTATTAATGTGTTGTTATTATTATATACGTTTATATTTCGTTTGACATGTATAGAGGCAGCAACAGGTATACAGTTCAGCATGTATATATATAATACAGGTATACAGTTTACATATACCAAGCATGTATACAGTTTCACACATACCTCTAGAGTGCAGGTAAAAATAATGATATTTCGTATAACCTAACCTAACCTAACCTTCCCATAACGTAACCAAACCAAACCAAACCTACCCTACCTAACCCTACCCTAACCAACCCTAACCAACCCTAACCTAACCTAACCTTTCCCATAACGTAACCAAACCAAACCAAACCTACCCTACCTAACCCTACCCTAACCAACCCTAACCAACCCTAACCTAACCTAACCTAACCAAACCAAACCAAACCAAACCAAACCTACCCTACCTAACCCAATCCTACCCTACCCTAACCAACCCTAACCTAACCTAACCAAACCAAACCTTTATCTACAACACAGAATTATAAATTGTCGACATTGTATGAAAGTTTATCTCGTATTTACAAATTATTTTCTTAACACGGGTGGTAAAAGGTGGTTGTTAATATATAAAATCAGGTTACATTTTTAACATAGATAAGAGTGTACAGTACGTGGTCTGTTGGTGGGTAGAACTCTTAGATATAATGTCTATGGCAACCTCTCTATGGTAATCTGTCTATGGCAACCTCTCTATGGTAATCTGTCTATGGCAACATCTCTATGGTAATCTGTCTATGGCAACCTCTCTATGGTAATCTGTCTATGGCAACATCTCTATGGTAATCTGTCTATGGCAACCTCTCTATGGTAATCTGTCTATGGCAACCTCTATGGTAATCTGTCTAAGGCAACCTCTCTATGGTACTCTGTCTATGGCAACCTCTCTATGGTAATCTGTCTATGGCAACCTCTCTATGGCAACCTTTGTGACAATCTCCGTGACAATTTCCATGACAACCTCTATGGCAATTTCTATGACAATCTCCATGGCAACCTTTATGATAACCCCTATGAAAATTTCTATGACAATCTCCATGACAACCCCATGACAATCTCTATGTGGCAACCAATGACACAATTTACCTACATTACGTCACTGAGCACTTCAACTAGGTTAGCTGGAGTACCTACCTGTTGAGTAATGTGTACAGTATCTAGGTAGAGTGTGTGTGTGTGTGTGTGTGTGTGTGTGTGTGTGTGTGTGTGTGTGTGTGTGTGTGTGTGTAAGTCAATCGTTAGAGCACATGTGGAGGAGTGTTTTTTAAGGTTCGATAAAGGTCAAAGGTCAAGATTATTATGTTGGTGTACATACATACATACACTGACGTCAGCAGCTTCTCTTCCCCAATCTTCCCCAATCTTATCTACGTTTCCCCAACTCTTCCCAACCCTCCAACCCCTCTCCCACCCCTCTTAATCCCTTTCCGCCCCCTCTCCCACCCTCCTCGCCCTGAAGTAATACAAACATTACGACCATTAAGTTTCATAAAAGCTGAAGAACAACAACACTGAGAGATTAAATAAAGGACTCTCTCTCCATACCTCACTTCATCCTCCCTCCCTCCCTCTTATCCTGTCATATCCTCTCAACATCTTCCCTTCCCTCTCACCCCCCTCCCTTCTTCCTCTCATCTCTCTTCAACTACCCTCCTTCCACTCTCCCCCACTCTCCTACCATAAGGGTGATTAATACAGTCTTCTACGTTGTTATGACCTCTATGAGCCCTGTGTTGGTACAGGAGGCCATCAGACTAGAGTCACTACACCATTGAGTACAGGATCAGTATTGGGGACACGAACCCTGACACGGTGGGGAGGGATACCTAGTTATATTGTGGTGAGGGGGTGAAGGAGAGGAGACGGTGATGAGGGGGGTGAAGGGAGGGGAGGTGAGGGGGGTGAAGGGGAGAGGGGGTGAAGGGGAGAGGGGGAGACGGGTGAGGGGATGAGGGGTGGGGTGTGAGGGAGAAGGGATAATTGAGGTGTGAGGGGGAGAGAGGGTAACTGAGGTAAAAAAGGGAGTAACTAAGGTGTTAGGGGCCCCATATTCCATATATACATAACACCAGGGCCCAAATGTCTCTCCTGGGGCCTACATAGAATGACGCTTCTCTAAATTATTCTTTGGGCGGATAGATATGTTATCGCCGCCAGCTACAGCTACACAGTGCTGGCAGCCTTCAGCACCTCAACCCATGTGTCTGCGAGTGTCACCCAGACAAATATAAACTCTCAGCCGACGACCACATACGACCTCCTTATTTTTATTTTTTTTATTGGGCACCTCCCTACAGCCTTGTGGCACCCTATACCTTGTGGCACCCCCCACAGCCTTGTGGCACCCCCTACAGCCTTGTGGCACCCCCCACAGCCTTG